CTGTTCGCCCAAAACTTACCGCGCCAATCGCGGTCCACGAGGCTTTCCCCGATGTGCTTCACGCACAGGGCCTGGGTGGACAGGATGGCCCTAACGTTTGCCCTCTCCTGGATTGTGCGGTTCCTGCTGCACCAGAACCTCGCCCCTTCCTGTCCCGGAATGGAGGACCGAAAGTTCAGCTGTTTAAGCCCCTCAAGCACTCTGGTCTGCAGTTTACGCTGCTTCCAAATGTCAAGATCGGTATACAGAATCTCGACCCGGCAAAAGCCACTGCGCACGTAAAGCACAAACACTTGCTTCAAAAGCGGCTCGGCATTGAGTTTGCAGAACATTTCCCGCACGTCTTCCTCGATAGACTGGCGCTTAGCTTCCTGCCAGCCTCCTATCACGATCTGTAGCTCATCAATCTCCCGTCCACCCCTGGGCGAGGGCATCCCCCCACCCCCAACGCCCCCACCACCTGCACGAGGCGTGGAAACCGGGCTTTGCATTCGGGTAGGCGGCGCACTGCGCAAAGCCTGCATCTCTCTCTCAAACTCACGTCGTTCCCGTTGCATCTGAGCTAAGGCCGCTTCTTGATCATCTGCTCTGCGAGTCAGCGATTCCTGACCCACACTGAGATTACGGACCCCCTCCTGTATACCCCTCAGTTCCGTGCTAGAAGCAGCCATTTGCTGCGCCATCTGTTTCTGATTGAGGGCAATCTCCTGGAGACTGTGTTTGATGCTGTCCAGCCAAGAAGGCTCAGCATCCAAATTGAAGTGCTGAGGCCCTGACGGCAGAGGTGGGGCTACCACTGAAGGGTCAGAGAACGTGGGCCCTACTGAGGGCCGCGCTACAGGGGACGTTGCCGCGACGCTCCCATGGAAAAGTGGCGGATGGTGAGTCAGGGGAGCAGGAGCAAGGGCCCCTGCTGCCAAGGACCCGGGCGCAGTACCAAAGGTGGGCATCTTCGACCCCGAAGACAGCCTCGGACGCTTTTCCGGACTGGGCTCGTTGCGCAAGCCATCCACACTAGGTGTCTGAGCCTGCCCCGTGGCAGCCAAGAGTGCAGCAGCTGCTGCAGAGGCGTCTTCCAAGGAAGGCGCCAGAGCCTCGTCCCTAAGAGGAAACCCTCGTGCCCTACGGGAATTGCGATCTCTCGGCCTACCTCTAGCGGTCTCATCGGCGTC